GCCAAAACTATTTCACTCCCAAGACCTGAACTGTGATTATCCTCAGGCACATCAGTGCTATCAGCTAAGGATGTAATTGCAGTTTGAAAAAACCGCATACCTGAACTGGTTGAAACACTAACAACAGCAGAACTGTTGCAATATCAGAGCTTGTTAAGAGAAAACAACTGCTGCAGTTTACTCAGCTTCTCAGGTTCACTTTTCAAACGTTGCTGCCATGTTGCAAGCCTGGCAGCAGTGACCAACCTGCCTGAGTATGAATTATTAACTTATTGCACTCTCAATTATCAAACGCTTTCCATCCCATTGAGGGTAATAAATAACAAATAAATGTCAGCATTCTTTCAAGATTAGAAATCAATAAAAATAGACCTTTCTGAGGCATTTTGCCTCATAGTAGGAAGAGAGAGATGAATTTTTATTAGAGTCTTCTTTCCTTTCCACAGGCTGACGTGTATGAACATTATAGGAAAATACTAAAAACACTGACCTGTAGTACATTATCTTCTGAAGCCAAATACACCATCCCAGCTGAAAGAAAAAGATTGGATGGGTTATGAAAATATAAGTCCCACTTCCACTGAATAAACTTTGCATGTAAAAAATAGATTTTATCTAAAAATAGATTTTTAATTAGTGAAGAAGTCATGTAAAAGTTAAATTGCAGCAATATATTTTCAATGCTACAGAAAAGCATTAAGTAAGTTGGCATAAGATTAGCAGACAAATTGAAGTCCTTCCTTAAATCCCAGTCTAATCACACCGGTGGTGAAGGATCTAGGAACTATGCATGTAGAAGGTCAAGAGCTCTTTTGCATGCATTTTACCAGAGTACCTGGTGTGAAAGTGGGAAAGGGAACATTAAAACACATTATGTGAGCAAGAGAAACAGCAAAGCCTGGCATCTCTCTGACCACCTATTCAGTTCCCTCTGTCATCTCCCCACTGGAGAAAGTGGGGATTAGCCAGCTGGTACCTAGGCAGTGAGTGGTCACCGAGCCCAGCACAGCTGTTGTCTGTGCCACACTAGGGATTTCAGTCAGAATACTCACACAGGTCTCTTGTTTGAGAGACCACCAATGTGGCCATCATTAAGCCTGAGACTCTCACACCAAATGGCTGAAAAGGGCTGGCAGCTTCATGAACATGTAGTGACAGAGAGAAGCTTTGGATGAAGAGCCTACACCGTGGGCTAAGCTCTTCTGCCTCATGACAGTTGAAAATCTGAGTAACGTGCACAGGAACATGTATCTTGTTCCTTCATGGGAGATCCCAATTCTTTTGCTCAGCTTGCAATTTTACAGCACACACCATCTTCTTCTGTACTCACTCTCTAGCAAAATACAGAAAATTATATCTATTTTATTTTATGTATGCAGGGCATATCAGATCATAAAGAACATCAGTTACCTTTGAACAGCAAGGCAAATATAATAGAACTAACAGATTTTTCTTTGTGTTTGGTTTGTGTTGCACAGAGCTAAAGCAGTACTGCCACTCCTACTTCATTAGTGCATCTTAGTTGCTGGTAATTATTTAAATATATTCCTGTATGAATAAGCAAAAGAGTTCTTTTCATTTCCCCTGCATTTAAACTAAAACCAGAAGTGGCATAGGAAAAAATATGAAGCCAATAATCAGGTTCACATGTTGTGGTCCATATACTGGACCTTGGATCTTAATTATAGATTTTAAAGCATACTCATTTTCCACCCCAGCATCAAGGGGTTGTAATGGCAATCGTTGTTTATGAAACTAAAGGTCCTTGATGGAAAAAACAAGCTACAGAAACATAATCAGGAAATATGGATCATGGGGCTATTACATTAAAGAAATAGTACCTGCTCATGGAGATTTTGTCCAGAGTGTCCACTCTGGGGCATAAACTTTTGTGTTCTCCCAGAAATGAGGAGATTTAAACAATTTAAACAAACATAATTGCTTCCTGAACAAAGTTGGACCAGTACATGGTTATGCTCTAAGTCCCATGCATGGGAAAATATATCCTATTTTCTATAATGGAGTAAATAGGTTTCTTGATGGTATTATAAACAGAAGTGGTCTGTACAAATAATTACTTAAAATTTCAACTAGAAGAAACCCATAAAATTAGTCTCATGAGTGATTTTGGTAACATATTGTTCCCTTTTATAATATTTTTTTCTCCTTCTTAAGTCACAGACTTCTTTCTCAGTCTCTTCCAGCTTCATAATGTTTTAAGCACATTGTATTAATAAAACAATTCCTATTTAATTACACTGAAGAAATCATACTTGTTCAAGTCTTTAAATACTGTAAAATCAACTTATTCTCCCTTTCTATCTGGATCAGAATTAGAAGTTAGTTGCTTCTAATTTATTTGTCACACAGGTAAACTCATCCCAAACATATGACTACTAGCAATGTACCAAAAACCAATTAATTTAGTCATCTTAATGATAAAATTACTTATCTAACACAATGTACATATATGCCTTTTAGGTGTGTGTCCAGAAACGTACACATTTTCTCATTTTAGCTCATTTTTTCTCATTTAGGATTTTAGCTTCCTTTTTAATACTAGACTCTGCATATTAAAAGCCTGAGAGGTTAATTTCATTTGTCACATAACCTGATCATCACTTAGAAATATTAATTTCTGCCTTATCTGTGTCATTTTAAGGTCCACAAGCTGTGTTCATATGGAGTTTGAAAATTGCAGAGTGATGTCCTGGTTGTGTTTTGTCAGAAAACTTGACTGCTCTTGTCATGACAAACTGGTAACACTCACCTTCAGAATCCAGCCTTGTTCCTTACAAATTCAACTCAAAAGCTGTAGGACCTCAGACCCATGTGATCAAACAGATACATGGTTAAAGGGTGGTGGATCCAGTCAACATTTAGAGAACAAATTAAACCATGGACAAAAGATGCTACTGTCTGCATTTTAGTGACTGGATATTTGGGTCACATATTCAGAAAACTAATATTCAAAATTCATGAACACTAAATGCAGATGTGCCTGAGGACATGACTTTGCAAGCATTTTCTCAAATTCTCTAAGTCATTGAGGACCACCCACAAAAAACATTATTTCAGTCATTTTATTTCTTTGTCAAAACAGGGATACTCCCAGAAGAAAAGTTAGAAGTAATGCCAAGAAATAGCATACTAGCCAAAAAGCAGTAATAGCAGAGATAACTCTGAGATAATACCACCTGCACATTTAAATCTCTTCACAACTTTATCCAGATTAAAATAAACAACAAAGACAACAGCAA